GGAAGGAAGGAAGGAAGGAAGGAAGGAAGGAAGGAAGGAAGGAAGGAAGGAAGGAAGGAAGGAAACAGGGAAAGAAGGCATTGTTTACTTTCTCAGCTAATCTACCAAAGAACACTGGTATTCTATCTTCTGCATGAAAGTTAGATTCTAGCAAAAGGCCCAGAAAGAGCTTACAAATCTCAGCTCCAAGCCAAGAAGGGTTTGTGCCTCGGACTTGGAAGAAACGGGGATTTACATGTGCTGGTTTTTTTACCTGCAGGTGAATGAACAAATGAGGCTAACAGTCTTGGGGCCGGACTCCATCACTGTCACCTTCACCTCCATGAACGAGACGGTAACACTCAGTGTGTCGCCCAAAAGCTGTCCCCATGGCATAGTGCATGACAAACGGGTAAGGCAAAGTAGACGAGTAGAGCAAAGTAGGTGGGGCATCTAGCCCTGACCCAGGGTGTCTCAGCAAAGCTAGCCACATCATAGCTCTGAAACTTTTCCCCAACCACCTCCTATGCAAGGCTCTTCCATATCCTCGTATTTAAGCAACTATGAACGGAAAATTCTCAGAAAAAGGTACTGTGTCTGAACTGAGCACACACAAACTGCTCATGCCTCACTCCCTGCATAACACAGTGGAGCAATAACTGATGCAAGGCCTGCACTGTACTAGTACGCCAAGTAATCTAGAGATGGCTAAAAGACACGGGATATGAATCCCACACCAAGCATTTATCCAAGGGACTTGAGCACCTTCAGGTTGAACTATCTGTGGAGATGCTCACGTCTGTGAGGATATAGATCCCACAAACAAAGAAAGGTGGTGGCTGTATTTCCCATTATTTATTGAGGGGATAAAATTCAACAGAACCTTTTCAAGTTCAGTCTTTCCATTCACTGGTCCAGCTGTGGCCTGGGCTAAATCAGCATCATGGAAAAGATAGAGCAGATGAAGAGGATGCCATCGCCAAACCTTGAGGTGTCCAAAAAGCAACCCTTGGCATGGGAAGGAAAATTGGAATAACCAAGAGCTCCTGTGAATGGGCAGATCACTGTAATTCCCCTGATGATACTTTGCTGGCATTGGCTTATAGGACCAGAAGCAGTTTACCCAGTGCCAGTCCATATTCACACTTGTCTGCCTACAGAAATTACAAATAGTAAACCTTGCCCCTTCAATGATGTTCTGCTGGGATGGTAAATTTTAAGGATCTGGCCAAGAGGCTCTTAAGCTATGGGATATTACCATAGTATGCCATAAGCTCTCAGGCTTTCCAAGATAGCTGACATTGAGTTACAAAACACATGGGACAGGAATTCGTTGTAGACCCAAAGTTTATGAAGAAGACAATGCTCTTCCCAGAAGAAAGCGTCGTGCCTGCTTTGCCCATTGCATTTTCATTCTAGCAGCATTTCTCTCTCATTGATTTACCAAGTAACCCAGCAAGCATTTGTTAACACTTGTAGTGTGCCACAGTAGCTGCTAGAGGTGCAGAAATGAAGGCACTTTCTAGTGAATAGAACTTTCAATCTAAGGCACAGAAGAACACAAACCAATTATGAGTCCAACCTGGTTAGTGTCATGTAACAGGCATATGGGGGCTGCTGAGACATGAGGAGAGACAGTGTTCATCAAGGCTCTCATAGAAACATCAAGACACTCAGATGCCTGTGAGCTCAAGCTGGATCAACTTCAATAATTATACCTACAGTGGGCTTAAGTGCAGTACAGAGTAGAGTGCTGCTAGCACATGGGAGGCTAGTTCCATCCCCAGCAAAAAGAAAGGAAGGGAGGAAGGAAGCAAACATGGCAGGCAGGTAGACTTGTCAAATGAGTTGAGATGAATGCGCTTGCATGTTGATTCCTCTCTCATGTCCATTTGGTTCCAGGTTCTTGCTCTAATGGTCATTGTTAAATGCATACTATGTCTGATGATCTCTGAGTGTTTCCTGGGAGCCATGATATAAGCAACTTAAAGACCATCCTGAGAGCTGAATGAAATGACTCTCAAGTCTTGTGTGCAAGCACACTCTGAGCCTAGGAAAACTAAGTAATTCAAATGTGATTTTGCCTTACCTTAGTACAACTTAGTGAGCCGGAATTAGATGCCCAAAGCATCTGTTCAATGTGGCAGACTCAAGTAAAAGTCATACAGGGCTGTCGAACCCTTGAAGTGCAATGAGTGCAAACTGATCAGAGATCTCAGTAAAAAACAAAACAAAACAAAACAAAACAAAAAAACACATTATGTTTCAAAGACTTAATATAAAATTTTTCAGTAATTTCAAATTTTCATTGTGTGTTAAGTGATCATTCTTATATACTGAGTAAAACAAATATATTGTTAGAATTATAACTTTAGGATGTTTTGAATGTAGTTGCTAAATATTAAACTAGCTCACATTGTATTTCTACTAGACCATACTAAATGTCTAGGGTAGTGTCTCCATCAAGAGGCTCACAAAGGCACAGTCTGACAGTGCAGTAGAAGGGTGAAAAGTTAGCTAAAATGACTCAATAACTCAAAGAACATGACTATCTTGGGAACATTTAAGGTAGGGATAAACAGGCCGATGCATTAAAATGGCCTCAGAAAATGCTGCATTATATATGACAAACACTGGTGACAGCAAAGGCATCCTGCCAAAAAAGCATTGTCTGTAATTGCTTGTATTTAAATAATGCACAGTGTGTTCTATAATGTATATTTATAACTAGATGAACATAAATATATGAATAAATATAATCATTTTCTGCAAGAAACAGGATTTCCAATCTTTGTCCTGAACACCAGGTTCAGCATTTCGAGTTATTTTTGCATGAACTTCCCAGGTTCAAATAACTGGTCATCTTAGATCCTTGGATTTGATAAAGTTTCAAGGACCAAGAAAACTTTCAGAGTACTGGGTCTGGCAAAGAGCCCAGGTTAGGAAGAGACCACAGGGCCTTACTCCAGGCACGTTTCTGGTTGAGCCCGTTTTCCCATCAATATAGTGATGTGTAAAGGCCAACCTGACTTTAATTCCATCCTAGGATTCTCACAGTCCTTTCAAACATACCATGTGTGCTCGAATGGCTCTAGTTCTATAAAAATCCATGGCCATCTAGAAAGGCTGAAACTGGGGGAGGGTAGTGTCTCTGTCATTGGGAAGCTTGTTAAATGGTTTCCCCAGATACCCATCCCAGAGAGAGCCACCTATCACAGCGACAGGCAGAATGGCAGACCCAGCTTTTATGGCCCTGAGGCCTGGTTTCTCACTAAATATTTCTTATCTAGGCAGCACTTTGGAAGCGAGGCGATGCTTTGACTCAAATGCTTTATTAGCCAAGAGTGCCACTTCAGATTCTTTTTGGAGCCAGGGTGGATATAAATTACAAATAAATAAATAAAATTAGCCCAGAAGCAGTGGCTGTAACTGCTCAGAAGGAGGCTGGGACTTTGCTAGTAACCGAGGCCATCCTTTACATGGTTCTTGCCTGTAGGGGAAAAAGACCAACTTAGTCCTTGTCCAGAATATCTGTCTACTCCTCATCCCACTCACTCCACCTGAGACTTAAATTGTACAGAAGAAACTTTCTCATACTTCCACTAATGTAAGAGGGCAACAGAAAAGCATAGATCCTGCTCCTTAGGAGCCAGCCAAGTTAAGAGATAAAGGAAGTGAAAAAATTGAAAAGACCCAGGCAAACATGTTGGGAATGGGTAGATGCAGATGTTTAGTAGAGAGCAAATGCCACTGGCTAAGGAAACAAGGGCTTCCCGGGGAAAGACTGACTGCAGTGAACTCTGGATTCTGAGTATGGTTTTGCAGTACCATGCAGGCACTCGGCTATGCAGCAGCTTCCTCGGAAAACAAGACTGGCACACAGCTGACTGGAAATGACTACTTTGAGGATTAGGGAAGAGAAAGGTTGAATTTCAGGGAAGCTGAATCAAAGGCCTCTGGGATACCAAAGGGAGTCCAGGTGACCCAGCAGAGTAATTCCAACTCCAGGTAAAAGGCCTGGGCCTTTGTGCAGTAGGTGACCCACTGGTCTCTGTAACCTTGGCCAAGCATAGCTTTCCAACTATGAGTTGTCCACAGCCAGTACTCTGGTAGCTGGCTGGGTGGAAGAATTCTAAAAGATGTATATGCACCATAAGGAGAGACTGTCAGTGGACACTTCAGAGGAGCCTCTCTGCATCAAATTATTTATAAAGCAATAACATTTATTGAACACTTCTGCATGAAATCAGAGCACATCAAGACACAGTCCTCACCTCCAAGAAGCTTGCAGTTTAGGAGGACAAAACATATGCACCCAATTGCTTAGTTAAGTGCTACCTTGTCTTACAGTCACACAGCACAGTGAGAGTCAATACAAGCAGTAGTACTACACAGTGGAATCAGAGAGGCCCTCCACAATGGGAGAATCTGAGTCAGGGCTGGCCCTGACTCAGGAAAGACTGGGCCAGGAGGGACAGAGATGTATTCTAGGAAGAAGGAGCAACCCCTTAACCTTCAGAGCAAAGTCAGTCCTGCTGAACAGGCAGACAGCTCCCTGGGGACAGGTGACCACTACCCCCAACCCCTTTGCCTTCCTCCAGCCAGTTCGCAGAATCAGTACCGTGGATGAAAAGATGTTAAAGATAAACAGAGCCCTGGTTGAGATCAAGAAGCGGTTTCAGAAGACTGTGACTCAGTTTATGAACTCTGTGTTGCTGGCAGCAGGTAAGGGTAGAAAGGTGCGTAGGCCTACTAGAAGGTCTCTTAAATCTTGGGTCACCTGTCTCAAAATTCAGTCCTTTTCACCTCTTGAGTTTCAGCCTCCTGAGAGGTAAGGGCAACCAGTATTTTCTATGGGGATTGCCTGAGGACACACAGCTGGGACTGGTGAACTGAGCTAACTTTAATTCCTGAACTTTCTCCCTATGTGCCTTCAGTGTCTCCATGCAATTATGTTACTTTTCCATTGCTCATAGACTTTGTGCATACCTCTGGGCCCTTTCTGTTTTGTCCCTTGTACCATCTGTCATCCTTTATAACTGTCATTTGCTCTTCTCTCTTCTGTGGATAACAGAAGAGAAAAATCGAATCACTTCACAAAACTGTCCCTGCCAGACACAGAGCACTCTTGGGCCTAGTCAGACAGGCTTCAGGAGCTTTCATGTCTGTGCTCTCTGCTCTACTGGTAGCCCTTGGAAACACGGTGCTACGAAATATTACTGTTACCTCCTGGCTGGGCCTGGCTCCCCACACAGCTTCCCCAAGGAATCTCTCCTTGGCATCAGAGGCTTAGTTCAATTGTACCTTTCCTTTGTGAGCCTTCCTTGACTTCCCTTACAAAGTAGGGCTCCCCTTCCTATTCTGATGGTTCCCATGGCTGCTCTGATGGTTCTCAACACTGCTCTATGTATAAATCTTGTTACCAGGGCTGGAGAGATGGCTCAGTGATTAAGAGCACTGGCTGCTCTTCCAGAAGACCTGGGTTCAATTCATAGCACCCACACAGCAGCTCATAATTGTCTGTAACTCTAGTTTCAGGGAAATGTGATGTCTTCACACCAATGAACATAAGATAAACTTAAATAAATTATATATAAAAATCTTGTTACCTAGCCTTGTGAATACTTATCTCCTTTTCTTCCCATCCCCTCTTTTCTCAGCAGCAAAAGGCCTGTCTTGAGTTGTCTTTATGCATAGCATACTCATTCAATAAATGCTTGCTAGGTGAATAAAGGAGCAGTAGGTCTTTGGCCTCAGAAATTTCTACTGGACTAAGTAAAAAAGCAAGACAGAGAATCAAAAATCCCACAACACACCAAAGAGGAGGATGAAACCAGCCTCTTCTCAGCAAAGGGAACACATGGTGTACCTAACCTTACTATTGAGTGCTATAAAATGCTGAGTGAAATACAGGGCATCTGGGAAAGTAAGACTGAAGCTAGATCATGCAGGACAATTAGAAATGAGATGTGTTTATTCTTGCTGACTACTTACTAGGGCAATGTGCTAGATACAGAGCAAGGCAGGCTGGACAAAAGTCAGTGAGGGGTCCGTGGGTATGAGCTAAAGTAGACTCTGATGGTCCAGGTGGTAGGAGCCAAGAAACAGGGGCAGAGGTGGCGTGGTAGTCTGGGAAAGTAACAACAGTAATCTTGTTGACAGGTCTGTTTACTATAGAATATCCCACCATGAAGGAAGACACAGAAGCTAGTCGTGTCAAGTTGAAATCTGGGTCTTATCCTGATCGGAGCCGTAAGTCAAGTTTATACCAAGGAGAAACCCTTGTACGATCCCAGTCAGCCCGACCTGATTCTTTAATTGAAGACACATTGAAGGAAGAGTCTATACAAACACCCTTGATCCCTGTTCGAAAGAAGAATAACAAAGTCCAGGCCAAAGTCACACCAAGGTTGGCTTAATCCTTCATTTCTTTCATAGAGCCAGGGGATGTGATGGGTAGTACAAATGTAGTGGGATCCACACAAGCCCCCTGCCTGTAGTGAGGAACTGCAGGCAGACCTGCTTTTCATCCCGCCCGGTTCCCGCACAGCTAGCTTAGCCCCAGAAATAACAACACGCAAATTGTATTCATTTAAACACTGCCTGGCCCATTATCTCTAGAGAGTTAGTTACTGGCTAACTCTCACATCTTGATTAACCCATTTCTAATAATCTGTGTAGCACCACGAGGTGGTGGCTTACTGGAAAAGATTCAGCATGTCTGACCTGGTGGCTGGCTTCATGGCATCTGCCTCATTGCCCTCTTCCCAGCATTCTATTCTGTTTACTCCGCCTACCTGATTTTCTGTCCTATCAAAGGGCCAAGGCAGTCTCTTTATTGACCAATGAAAATGACACAATAGACAGATAACCCTCCTCCATCATTTCCCCTTTTTCTGTTTAAACAAAAAAGGAAGGCTTTCATTTTAACATAGTAAAATTACATATAACAAAACAGTTATCAAGCAAGAATTACAGTCACAATATTTATAACTATATCTTTATCATAATAATAGAAAACTATAACTATGACTATCCATTCTTCAACTCCATCAAAGACTCCAGAAGGATATAATATTACCTAAGTAAACAAGAAGTAAGCAACTTTCAAAACTCTAGAAATGACAGAGACATTTTGCTGCCTGGACAGTCACCCAAAGTTCCTCTGTACTGTTGGGGCATCCATCTTTGGCCTTCAGGCCCATAGTATCCAGAGACATTTCCATGAAGCAGGAAATTTCAAAGGCAGTTCAGTCACTATCTGCTGTGTCCTGCAGAATGTCTCGTAGACTCTTTCATGAATCAAGAACCCTGAAAGATCATCTCACCTTTAGGCAAGTTCAGCAGTCCTCTCTCTGCGGGTTCTCTGTGTCCAGTTTATGCAACAGTCCAGGCAAGAGCAGTTTCTTGCCCAAATGGCTAACCAACTCCATAAGGAGCCTCTTTGATGCCGATCTTCCTCTTGAAGTAGCTTGGTGCTGCCAGGAGCAAACGTGTCTCATTGTCCTAAGTTATTAAAACATTAAATGCCATGTTCTGTAGTCTTTGAAAGATATGAATGTCTATCTGAAATATATCCATGCACTTCTAGAAAATCAGGCTAACATTACTACAAGCTTGACTATTATCGATGATTATCCATTAACAACCTATATTTTTAATTATACATTGCATTTTTGAATGAATTACACAATCAAAATCAGAAATATATACACATATAACAAAATTGACCTTAAAATCCATACCAATGCAAATTATTCATTTCTGTATCATATCCCCCTTTAAATGTAAAAGAACATTTATAAGCAATATTTGGGAATATGGACGTAGTTATTTCTCTCCAAACTTCTTCCTGCTGTATAGGGGCACAGTTAATCAGGTCTTTCATGGTATAACCTGTCTGCCAGGTTCATCTCAGTTGGCAATTGAGTGAAGTAATTTCTTGAGGGTGTTCACAGCAACCTTTCAGGAGGACGTGGTCTATCATACCATATTGGGATAGAAGCAATCCACAGGGTCTCATCCTCTGTGAAAACAAAAGAAGGACCTCCTTTCCAAAGCATCATATTCTTAGACCCAAATTCTGAAGTCAAGGTATTTTCAAAATATCTATCTTGGATTAATTCTGCAGCATTTATAAGCAAATGTCTTTTGGCGACTGTTGCTCCTTCCTCAGCATTCAAACAATTAAAAGAGAGCATAATAGCATACAGTATCAAGATTCTCTGTGTATTTTCCATCTTTATGATGGCTTTATTTTAACCTCTATTTCTTTTATTTTTACTTTTACTTTTTGAGACTGGTTCTCTGTATATCTTTGTCCTGGAATAACTCTGTAGACCAGGCTGTCCTTGAACTCAGAGATCTGTCTGTCTCTGCTCCCCAGTGCTGGGATTAAAGGCGTGTGCTACCACACCTTGAACTCAGATATCCTTCTGTCTCTGCCTCCCAGGCATTGGGATTAAAGGTGTGTGCTACCACACCTTGAAGTCACAGAGGTCAATCTACCTCTACCCCTTGAAGTCACAGAGGTCAATATGCCTCTACCTCCAGGGCATTGGGATTAAAGGTGTGTACCACCACACATAACCACTCTCTTTTTACTTTAAGAACTTTAACTTTTATCCTGCATTTATTTGTAACACACTATAAACCATTTAGAGGTTTCTTCATCTTTGAATCTCTCTTTACTGTATATCTCTCCTTTTTTCTGACCACATGAGCCTAAAACCGTGGCTTTGACGGCTGGATCTAGGCCATTTCTTAGCTTTCCAGCCTCATGACAGAGGTACTGCTGAAGCCATTTTTATTGTCACAACTCTGTGGCATTTCAAAGTCTGTGTCAGCAAGCAAGCCGCAGCATTCTGCTCACAGACCACACTCAGTCGGACTGCCTGCCTGAAAGAGTCAGAGATTGCCCTGGCAGGACAGCTCAGAAAGCCGGCATTTTAAAACGGCACAGCTTTTTTCCTGCTACAGCTGAAAACCGAAAGGCATGCGTTCAGCTTTTTGTCAACACCATTTAAGTGTTTTGTAACAGGACCTTTTAAAAGAGCTGCAAGGTTTTGCAGCTGAAGCTGAGTCAGGAAGCCTCCCTTAGATGAGAGTGCTTGCTTGCCTCTAGCAAACAGAGCAGACCTGAGAAATTGCTGCTACCAACAAAACATGCTTTACTCTATTCTTTCCCAAGCTTTCTCAAGCTTTCTGTGGATTCAGTTATCCACGTTGGGTGCCATCTGTAGTGAGGAACTGCAGGCAGACCTGCTTTTCATCCCGCCCGGTTCCCGCACAGCTAGCTTAGCCCCAGAAATAACAACACGCAAATTGTATTCATTTAAACACTGCCTGGCCCATTATCTCTAGAGAGTTAGTTACTGGCTAACTCTCACATCTTGATTAACCCATTTCTAATAATCTGTGTAGCACCATGAGGTGGTGGCTTACCGGAAAAGATTCAGCATGTCTGACCTGGTGGCTGGCTTCATGGCATCTGCCTCATTGCCCTCTTCCCAGCATTCTATTCTGTTTACTCCGCCTACCTGATTTTCTGTCCTATCAAAGGGCCAAGGCAGTCTCTTTATTGACCAATGAAAATAACACAATAGACAGATAACCCTCCTCCATCACCTGCCTTTGCAGCTCCCACTCTAGGGGTTGAGAAGGGTAGGAGATACACATGGATTTAAATGGTATCTTTGACTTTTTGAACATTTATTTATTTATTGTTTATGTATATGTATGTATATGGGTATACACATGCCATAGACTACATGTAGAGATCAAAGGATACCTCACAGGAGTTGGTTTTCTTCTCCCACTGTGTGAGCTCCAGAGATTGAACCTGAGTTGTCAGCCACAGCATCTTTATCTGATAAGCCATCTCACTGACCCAAAAATGATGTCATTCCAGATGGCCATAATATAACTGGAGGTTTCTTTTTAGTCTGTCAGTTCTCAAATAACCATGTTGGGCGCCAATTTGTAGACGGAGACTGCTGTTCATTTTCCAGCCACCCAGACTGGAAATAATCACACAGAAACTATATTAATTAAAACACTGCTTGGCCAATCACTTAAGCATATCATTAGCTAGCTCTTGTATCTTAAATTAACCCATTTACATTATTTTATATTTTACCATGAGGCTCCTGGTTTACTGGTAAGGTTCTGAACAGCATCTGTCTCCCTTGGCAGCTATATGGCATCTCTCTGACTCTGCCTTCTTTCCTCCTCTATCTGTTTGGCATTCCACCTTACTCTATTCTGCCCTGCCATAGGCCAAAGCAGCTTCTTTATTAACCAATGGTAATAAAACATATTCACAGCATACAGAGGGGAATCCCACATCATCAGACTGTTTGACTGGTGGCTCAGACTACTTACTGGCTAGATCTACATATAAATTAACCCATTTCTAATAATATGTGCATCACCACGTGTCCAGTGACTTACTGGTAATACTCTGGCATCTAACTCCTTCAACAGCTGTTGTCGTCTCTCTGACTCTGCCTTCCTTTTACCTTTATCTTTGCTTGAAATTCCTGCCTGGCTCTATTCTGCCTGAATATTGACCAAATCAGCTTCTTTATTAACCAACTATAATAAAACCTATTCACAGCATAAAGAAGGGCATCCCACATCACCCTTGGGCTAATAAGAAAAGGTTTAGAACAGTGTGACATAATAGAGACTGGTCATGGGCCAAATCTAGCCTGGATGCCTAATTTTTTATCTATTTTTAAATGCTTTGGGCAGAACCAAAAGAAGACTATTTTATGACATATGAAATGAGAGGAAACTCATTAGTATTCGTTGATGATATTCTATTGGAACACAGCCATGTCCACCATTTCCCACCTTCCATAGATGCTTCCCCATAGCATGAAAATGCCGAGTCCTCGTGACAGAGTTCATCAGGCCTCTGAAGGGTGGGATACTTACTTTCCAGTCCACTGTAGAAAAGACTAGCCCATTCCTGGAACAGAGTGGCTGTGGAGTAGACTGGCAAGACTGCCTTCAATCAGAGGGTCAGGAAAGCTGTTCTAAAGTGATATTTAAAGGGAGAAGTGAAGGATTAGAAAGAAGCCGCCCAAAGAGATGTGATAAAGAAATATTACAGAGCCCCAGGGGACAAGGACAAGCTTGGCATGTGTGAGAGCTATTAAGAGCAGTGTGGTTGGGATGTCACAAAGGAGGTCATAGAGCTGGCAAGTACAGATAATTGCCACCAGCCCAACATCATGAATTTGACCTCTGAGACCCACATGGTAGGAGAGAACTGACTCCTAAAAGTTTTACTCTTACATTCCGCTGTGGCACAAATACACACGCACAATCAATGTAATTTTTAAAAATCTTTTTTTTTAAGAATAAAGCTATGATATTAGTTGAGAACACAGGAGCAAGCAG